GAAATAGTAGATGTGCTTGTTGTCATTGTTTCTTGTGCTGTGGTTGTAATACGATTTGTTGTTGTAATGTTTTCTGCCGTTGTGGTGGTTGTAGGAATGGTTGGTGTAAGTGTTGAAATGGTCTCTGGTGTAGTTGTGGTGGTAGGAATTATTTGAGTAGTTGTTGTAATTGTTTCTTGTGTTGTGGTTGTAGGAATTATTTTTGTAGTTGTTGTAATTGTTTTTGGTGTTGTGGTTGTGGGAGGAATGGTTGGTGTAGCTGTCGCAATGTTTTCGGTTGTTGTGGTGGAAGGAATGGTTGGTTTAGTTGTTGTACTGGTTTCTGGTGTTGTGGTTGTAGGAATTATTTTTGTAGTTGTTGTAATTGTTTTTGGTGTGGTGGTGGTGGTGGTAGGAATGGTTGGTGCAGCTGTTGCAATGTTTTCGGTTGTTGTGGTGGAAGGAATGGTGGGTTTAGTTGTTGTAATGGTTTCTGTTGTTGTGGTTGTGGTAGGCATGGTTAGTCTAGTTGTTGTAATGGTCTCTGGTGTAGTTGTGGTGGTAGGAATTATTTTTGTAGCTGTTGTAATTGTTTCTGGTTTTGTGGTGGTGGAAGAAATCGTTGGTGTACTTGTTGTAATGTTCTCGGGTGTTGTGGTGAGATTTGGAATGGTTGTGCGATTAGTTGTTAAGGATTCTGGTTTTTTGGTTGCAGCAGAAATGGGTGGTTTTATGGTTGGTGTAAAGATGGCTTCCGGTGTTGTAATGATGGGAGAAATAGTAGATGTGCTTGTTGTCATTGTTTCTTGTGCTGTGGTTGTAATACGATTTGTTGTTGTAATGTTTTCTGCCGTTGTGGTGGTTGTAGGAATGGTTGGTGTAAGTGTTGAAATGGTCTCTGGTGTAGTTGTGGTGGTAGGAATTATTTGAGTAGTTGTTGTAATTGTTTCTTGTGTTGTGGTTGTAGGAATTATTTTTGTAGTTGTTGTAATTGTTTTTGGTGTTGTGGTTGTGGGAGGAATGGTTGGTGTAGCTGTCGCAATGTTTTCGGTTGTTGTGGTGGAAGGAATGGTTGGTTTAGTTGTTGTACTGGTTTCTGGTGTTGTGGTTGTAGGAATTATTTTTGTAGTTGTTGTAATTGTTTTTGGTGTGGTGGTGGTGGTGGTAGGAATGGTTGGTGCAGCTGTTGCAATGTTTTCGGTTGTTGTGGTGGAAGGAATGGTGGGTTTAGTTGTTGTAATGGTTTCTGTTGTTGTGGTTGTGGTAGGCATGGTTAGTCTAGTTGTTGTAATGGTCTCTGGTGTAGTTGTGGTGGTAGGAATTATTTTTGTAGCTGTTGTAATTGTTTCTGGTTTTGTGGTGGTGGAAGAAATCGTTGGTGTACTTGTTGTAATGTTCTCGGGTGTTGTGGTGAGATTTGGAATGGTTGTGCGATTAGTTGTTAAGGATTCTGGTTTTGTGGTTGCAGCAGTAATGGGTGGTTTTATGGTTGGTGTAAAGATGGCTTCCGGTGTTGTAATTATGGGAGGAATAGTAGATGTGCTTGTTGTCATTGTTTCTTGTGCTGTGGTTGTAATACGATTTGTTGTTGTAATGTTTTCTGCCGTTGTGGTGGTTGTAGGAATGGTTGGTGTAAGTGTTGAAATGGTCTCTGGTGTAGTTGTGGTGGTAGGAATTATTTGAGTAGTTGTTGTAATTGTTTCTTGTGTTGTGGTTGTAGGAATTATTTTTGTAGTTGTTGTAATTGTTTTTGGTGTTGTGGTTGTGGGAGGAATGGTTGGTGTAGCTGTCGCAATGTTTTCGGTTGTTGTGGTGGAAGGAATGGTTGGTTTAGTTGTTGTACTGGTTTCTGGTGTTGTGGTTGTAGGAATTATTTTTGTAGTTGTTGTAATTGTTTTTGGTGTGGTGGTGGTGGTGGTAGGAATGGTTGGTGCAGCTGTTGCAATGTTTTCGGTTGTTGTGGTGGAAGGAATGGTGGGTTTAGTTGTTGTAATGGTTTCTGTTGTTGTGGTTGTGGTAGGCATGGTTAGTCTAGTTGTTGTAATGGTCTCTGGTGTAGTTGTGGTGGTAGGAATTATTTTTGTAGCTGTTGTAATTGTTTCTGGTTTTGTGGTGGTGGAAGAAATGGTTGGTGTACTTGTTGTAATGTTCTCGGGTGTTGTGGTGAGATTTGGAATGGTTGTGCGATTAGTTGTTAAGGATTCTGGTTTTTTGGTTGCAGCAGAAATGGGTGGTTTTATGGTTGGTGTAAAGATGGCTTCCGGTGTTGTAATGATGGGAGAAATAGTAGATGTGCTTGTTGTCATTGTTTCTTGTGCTGTGGTTGTAATACGATTTGTTGTTGTAATGTTTTCTGCCGTTGTGGTGGTTGTAGGAATGGTTGGTGTAAGTGTTGAAATGGTCTCTGGTGTAGTTGTGGTGGTAGGAATTATTTGAGTAGTTGTTGTAATTGTTTCTTGTGTTGTGGTTGTAGGAATTATTTTTGTAGTTGTTGTAATTGTTTTTGGTGTTGTGGTTGTGGGAGGAATGGTTGGTGTAGCTGTCGCAATGTTTTCGGTTGTTGTGGTGGAAGGAATGGTTGGTTTAGTTGTTGTACTGGTTTCTGGTGTTGTGGTTGTAGGAATTATTTTTGTAGTTGTTGTAATTGTTTTTGGTGTGGTGGTGGTGGTGGTAGGAATGGTTGGTGCAGCTGTTGCAATGTTTTCGGTTGTTGTGGTGGAAGGAATGGTGGGTTTAGTTGTTGTAATGGTTTCTGTTGTTGTGGTTGTGGTAGGCATGGTTAGTCTAGTTGTTGTAATGGTCTCTGGTGTAGTTGTGGTGGTAGGAATTATTTTTGTAGCTGTTGTAATTGTTTCTGGTTTTGTGGTGGTGGAAGAAATGGTTGGTGTACTTGTTGTAATGTTCTCGGGTGTTGTGGTGAGATTTGGAATGGTTGTGCGATTAGTTGTTAAGGATTCTGGTTTTGTGGTTGCAGCAGTAATGGGTGGTTTTATGGTTGGTGTAAAGATGGCTTCCGGTGTTGTAATGATGGGAGGAATAGTAGATGTGCTTGTTGTCATTGTTTCTTGTGCTGTGGTTGTAATACGATTTGTTGTTGTAATGTTTTCTGCCGTTGTGGTGGTTGTAGGAATGGTTGGTGTAAGTGTTGAAATGGTCTCTGGTGTAGTTGTGGTGGTAGGAATTATTTGAGTAGTTGTTGTAATTGTTTCTTGTGTTGTGGTTGTAGGAATTATTTTTGTAGTTGTTGTAATTGTTTTTGGTGTTGTGGTTGTGGGAGGAATGGTTGGTGTAGCTGTCGCAATGTTTTCGGTTGTTAGGGTGGAAGGAAGGGCTGGTTTAGTTGTTGTACTGGTTTCTGGTGTTGTGGTTGTAGGAATTATTTTTGTAGTTGTTGTAATTGTTTTTGGTTTGGTGGTGGTGGTAGGAATGGTTGGTGCAGCTGTTGCAATGTTTTCGGTTGTTGTGGTAGAAGGAATGGTGGGTTTAGTTGTTGTAATGGTTTCTGTTGTTGTGGTTGTGGTAGGCATGGTTAGTCTAGTTGTTGTAATGGTCTCTGGTGTAGTTGTGGTGGTAGGAATTATTTTTGTAGCTGTTGTAATTGTTTCTGGTTTTGTGGTGGTGGAAGAAATGGTTGGTGTACTTGTTGTAATGTTCTCGGGTGTTGTGGTGAGATTTGGAATGGTTGTGCGATTAGTTGTTAAGGATTCTGGTTTTGTGGTTGCAGCAGTAATGGGTGGTTTTATGGTTGGTGTAAAGATGGCTTCCGGTGTTGTAATGATGGGAGGAATAGTAGATGTGCTTGTTGTCATTGTTTCTTGTGCTGTGGTTATAATACGATTTGTTGTTGTAATGTTTTCTGCCGTTGTGGTGGTTGTAGGAATGGTTGGTGTAAGTGTTGAAATGGTCTCTGGTGTAGTTGTGTTAGTAGGAATTATTTGAGTAGTTGTTGTAATTGTTTCTTGTGTTGTGGTTGTAGGAATTATTTTTGTAGTTGTTGTAATTGTTTTTGGTGTTGTGGTTGTGGGAGGAATGGTTGGTGTAGCTGTCGCAATGTTTTCGGTTGTTGTGGTGGAAGGAATGGTTGGTTTAGTTGTTGTACTGGTTTCTGGTGTTGTGGTTGTAGGAATTATTTTTGTAGTTGTTGTAATTGTTTTTGGTGTGGTAGTGGTGGTAGGAATGGTTAGTGCAGCTGTTGCAATGTTTTCGGTTGTTGTGGTGGAAGGAATGGTGGGTTTAGTTGTTGTAATGGTTTCTGTTGTTGTGGTTGTGGTAGGCATGGTTAGTCTAGTTGTTGTAATGGTCTCTGGTGTAGTTGTGGTGGTAGGAATTATTTTTGTAGCTGTTGTAATTGTTTCTGGTTTTGTGGTGGTGGAAGAAATGGTTGGTGTACTTGTTGTAATGTTCTCGGGTGTTGTGGTGAGATTTGGAATGGTTGTGCGATTAGTTGTTAAGGATTCTGGTTTTTTGGTTGCAGCAGAAATGGGTGGTTTTATGGTTGGTGTAAAGATGGCTTCCGGTGTTGTAATGATGGGAGAAATAGTAGATGTGCTTGTTGTCATTGTTTCTTGTGCTGTGGTTGTAATACGATTTGTTGTTGTAATGTTTTCTGCCGTTGTGGTGGTTGTAGGAATGGTTGGTGTAAGTGTTGAAATGGTCTCTGGTGTAGTTGTGGTGGTAGGAATTATTTGAGTAGTTGTTGTAATTGTTTCTTGTGTTGTGGTTGTAGGAATTATTTTTGTAGTTGTTGTAATTGTTTTTGGTGTTGTGGTTGTGGGAGGAATGGTTGGTGTAGCTGTCGCAATGTTTTCGGTTGTTGTGGTGGAAGGAATGGTTGGTTTAGTTGTTGTACTGGTTTCTGGTGTTGTGGTTGTAGGAATTATTTTTGTAGTTGTTGTAATTGTTTTTGGTGTGGTGGTGGTGGTGGTAGGAATGGTTGGTGCAGCTGTTGCAATGTTTTCGGTTGTTGTGGTGGAAGGAATGGTGGGTTTAGTTGTTGTAATGGTTTCTGTTGTTGTGGTTGTGGTAGGCATGGTTAGTCTAGTTGTTGTAATGGTCTCTGGTGTAGTTGTGGTGGTAGGAATTATTTTTGTAGCTGTTGTAATTGTTTCTGGTTTTGTGGTGGTGGAAGAAATGGTTGGTGTACTTGTTGTAATGTTCTCGGGTGTTGTGGTGAGATTTGGAATGGTTGTGCGATTAGTTGTTAAGGATTCTGGTTTTGTGGTTGCAGCAGTAATGGGTGGTTTTATGGTTGGTGTAAAGATGGCTTCCGGTGTTGTAATGATGGGAGGAATAGTAGATGTGCTTGTTGTCATTGTTTCTTGTGCTGTGGTTGTAATACGATTTGTTGTTGTAATGTTTTCTGCCGTTGTGGTGGTTGTAGGAATGGTTGGTGTAAGTGTTGAAATGGTCTCTGGTGTAGTTGTGGTGGTAGGAATTATTTGAGTAGTTGTTGTAATTGTTTCTTGTGTTGTGGTTGTAGGAATTATTTTTGTAGTTGTTGTAATTGTTTTTGGTGTTGTGGTTGTGGGAGGAATGGTTGGTGTAGCTGTCGCAATGTTTTCGGTTGTTAGGGTGGAAGGAAGGGCTGGTTTAGTTGTTGTACTGGTTTCTGGTGTTGTGGTTGTAGGAATTATTTTTGTAGTTGTTGTAATTGTTTTTGGTTTGGTGGTGGTGGTAGGAATGGTTGGTGCAGCTGTTGCAATGTTTTCGGTTGTTGTGGTAGAAGGAATGGTGGGTTTAGTTGTTGTAATGGTTTCTGTTGTTGTGGTTGTGGTAGGCATGGTTAGTCTAGTTGTTGTAATGGTCTCTGGTGTAGTTGTGGTGGTAGGAATTATTTTTGTAGCTGTTGTAATTGTTTCTGGTTTTGTGGTGGTGGAAGAAATGGTTGGTGTACTTGTTGTAATGTTCTCGGGTGTTGTGGTGAGATTTGGAATGGTTGTGCGATTAGTTGTTAAGGATTCTGGTTTTGTGGTTGCAGCAGTAATGGGTGGTTTTATGGTTGGTGTAAAGATGGCTTCCGGTGTTGTAATGATGGGAGGAATAGTAGATGTGCTTGTTGTCATTGTTTCTTGTGCTGTGGTTATAATACGATTTGTTGTTGTAATGTTTTCTGCCGTTGTGGTGGTTGTAGGAATGGTTGGTGTAAGTGTTGAAATGGTCTCTGGTGTAGTTGTGTTAGTAGGAATTATTTGAGTAGTTGTTGTAATTGTTTCTTGTGTTGTGGTTGTAGGAATTATTTTTGTAGTTGTTGTAATTGTTTTTGGTGTTGTGGTTGTAGGAGGAATGGTTGGTGTAGCTGTCGCAATGTTTTCGGTTGTTGTGGTGGAAGGAATGGTTGGTTTAGTTGTTGTACTGGTTTCTGGTGTTGTGGTTGTAGGAATTATTTTTGTAGTTGTTGTAATTGTTTTTGGTGTGGTAGTGGTGGTAGGAATGGTTAGTGCAGCTGTTGCAATGTTTTCGGTTGTTGTGGTGGAAGGAATGGTGGGTTTAGTTGTTGTAATGGTTTCTGTTGTTGTGGTTGTGGTAGGCATGGTTAGTCTAGTTGTTGTAATGGTCTCTGGTGTAGTTGTGGTGGTAGGAATTATTTTTGTAGCTGTTGTAATTGTTTCTGGTTTTGTGGTGGTGGAAGAAATGGTTGGTGTACTTGTTGTAATGTTCTCGGGTGTTGTGGTGAGATTTGGAATGGTTGTGCGATTAGTTGTTAAGGATTCTGGGTTTGTGGTTGCAGCAGTAATGGGTGGTTTTATGGTTGGTGTAAAGATGGCTTCCGGTGTTGTAATGATGGGAGGAATAGTAGATGTGCTTGTTGTCATTGTTTCTTGTGCTGTGGTTGTAATACGATTTGTTGTTGTAATGTTTTCTGCCGATGTGGTGGTTGTAGGAATGGTTGGTGTAAGTGTTGAAATGGTCTCTGGTGTAGTTGTGTTGGTAGGAATTATTTGAGTAGTTGTTGTAATTGTTTCTTGTGTTGTGGTTGTAGGAATTATTTTTGTAGTTGTTGTAATTGTTTTTGGTGTTGTGGTTGTGGGAGGAATGGTTGGTGTAGCTGTCGCAATGTTTTCAGTTGTTGTGGTGGAAGTAATGTTTGGTTTAGTTGTTGTACTGGTTTCTGGTGTTTTGGTTGTAGGAATTATTTTTGTAGTTGTTGTAATTGTTTTTGGTGTTGTGGTTGTGGGAGGAATGGTTGGTGTAGCTGTCGCAATGTTTTCGGTTGTTGTGGTGGAAGGAATGGTTGGTTTAGTTGTTGTACTGGTTTCTGGTGTTGTGGTTGTAGGAATTATTTTTGTAGTTGTTGTAATTGTTTTTGGTGTGGTAGTGGTGGTAGGAATGGTTAGTGCAGCTGTTGCAATGTTTTCGGTTGTTGTGGTGGAAGGAATGGTGGGTTTAGTTGTTGTAATGGTTTCTGTTGTTGTGGTTGTGGTAGGCATGGTTAGTCTAGTTGTTGCAATGGTCTCTTGTGTAGTTGTGGTGGTAGGAATTATTTTTGTAGCTGTTGTAATTGTTTCTGGTTTTGTGGTGGTGGAAGAAATGGTTGGTGTACTTGTTGTAATGTTCTCGGGTGTTGTGGTGAGATTTGGAATGGTTGTGCGATTAGTTGTTAAGGATTCTGGTTTTGTGGTTGCAGCAGTAATGGGTGGTTTTATGGTTGGTGTAAAGATGGCTTCCGGTGTTGTAATGATGGGAGGAATAGTAGATGTGCTTGTTGTCATTGTTTCTTGTGCTGTGGTTGTAATACGATTTGTTGTTGTAATGTTTTCTGCCGTTGTGGTGGTTGTAGGAATGGTTGGTGTAAGTGTTGAAATGGTCTCTGGTGTAGTTGTGGTGGTAGGAATTATTTGAGTAGTTGTTGTAATTGTTTCTTGTGTTGTGGTTGTAGGAATTATTTTTGTAGTTGTTGTAATTGTTTTTGGTGTTGTGGTTGTGGGAGGAATGGTTGGTGTAGCTGTCGCAATGTTTTCGGTTGTTGTGGTGGAAGGAATGGTTGGTTTAGTTGTTGTACTGGTTTCTGGTGTTGTGGTTGTAGGAATTATTTTTGTAGTTGTTGTAATTGTTTTTGGTGTGGTGGTGGTGGTGGTAGGAATGGTTGGTGCAGCTGTTGCAATGTTTTCGGTTGTTGTGGTGGAAGAAATGGTGGGTTTAGTTGTTGTAATGGTTTCTGTTGTTGTGGTTGTGGTAGGCATGGTTAGTGTAGTTGTTGTAATGGTCTCTGGTGTAGTTGTGGTGGTAGGAATTATTTTTGTAGCTGTTGTAATTGTTTCTGGTTTTGTGGTGGTGGAAAAAATGGTTGGTGTACTTGTTGTAATGTTCTCGGGTGTTGTGGTGAGATTTGAAATGGTTGTGCGATTAGTTGTTAAGGATTCTGGTTTTGTGGTTGCAGCAGTAATGGGTGGTTTTATGGTTGGTGCAAAGATGGCTTCCGGTGTTGTAATGATGGGAGGAATAGTAGATGTGCTTGTTGTCATTGTTTCTTGTGCTGTGGTTGTAATACGATTTGTTGTTGTAATGTTTTCTGCCGTTGTGGTGGTTGTAGGAATGGTTGGTGTAAGTGTTGAAATGGTCTCTGGTGTAGTTGTGGTGGTAGGAATTATTTGAGTAGTTGTTGTAATTGTTTCTTGTGTTGTGGTTGTAGGAATTACTTTTGTAGTTGTTGTAATTGTTTTTGGTGTTGTGGTTGTGGGAGGAATGGTTGGTGTAGCTGTCGCAATGTTTTCGGTTGTTGTGGTGGAAGGAATGGCTGGTTTAGTTGTTGTACTGGTTTCTGGTGTTGTGGTTGTAGGAATTATTTTTGTAGTTGTTGTAATTGTTTTTGGTTTGGTGGTGGTGGTAGGAATGGTTGGTGCAGCTGTTGCAATGTTTTCGGTTGTTGTGGTGGAAGGAATGGTGGGTTTAGTTGTTGTAATGGTTTCTGTTGTTGTGGTTGTGGTAGGCATGGTTAGTCTAGTTGTTGTAATGGTCTCTGGTGTAGTTGTGGTGGTAGGAATTATTTTTGTAGCTGTTGTAATTGTTTCTGGTTTTGTGGTGGTGGAAGAAATGGTTGGTGTACTTGTTGTAATGTTCTCGGGTGTTGTGGTGAGATTTGGAATGGTTGTGCGATTAGTTGTTAAGGATTCTGGTTTTGTGGTTGCAGCAGTAATGGGTGGTTTTATGGTTGGTGTAAAGATGGCTTCCGGTGTTGTAATGATGGGAGGAATAGTAGATGTGCTTGTTGTCATTGTTTCTTGTGCTGTGGTTGTAATACGATTTGTTGTTGTAATGTTTTCTGCCGTTGTGGTGGTTGTAGGAATGGTTGGTGTAAGTGTTGAAATGGTCTCTGGTGTAGTTGTGGTGGTAGGAATTATTTGAGTAGTTGTTGTAATTGTTTCTTGTGTTGTGGTTGTAGGAATTATTTTTGTAGTTGTTGTAATTGTTTTTGGTGTTGTGGTTGTGGGAGGAATGGTTGGTGTAGCTGTCGCAATGTTTTCGGTTGTTAGGGTGGAAGGAAGGGCTGGTTTAGTTGTTGTACTGGTTTCTGGTGTTGTGGTTGTAGGAATTATTTTTGTAGTTGTTGTAATTGTTTTTGGTGTGGTAGTGGTGGTAGGAATGGTTAGTGCAGCTGTTGCAATGTTTTCGGTTGTTGTGGTGGAAGGAATGGTGGGTTTAGTTGTTGTAATGGTTTCTGTTGTTGTGGTTGTGGTAGGCATGGTTAGTCTAGTTGTTGTAATGGTCTCTGGTGTAGTTGTGGTGGTAGGAATTATTTTTGTAGCTGTTGTAATTGTTTCTGGTTTTGTTGTGGTGGAAGAAATGGTTGGTGTACTTGTTGTAATGTTCTCGGGTGTTGTGGTGAGATTTGGAATGGTTGTGCGATTAGTTGTTAAGGATTCTGGTTTTGTGGTTGCAGCAGTAATGGGTGGTTTTATGGTTGGTGTAAAGATGGCTTCCGGTGTTGTAATGATGGGAGGAATAGTAGATGTGCTTGTTGTCATTGTTTCTTGTGCTGTGGTTGTAATACGATTTGTTGTTGTAATGTTTTCTACCGTTGTGGTGGTTGTAGGAATGGTTGGTGTAAGTGTTGAAATGGTCTCTGGTGTAGTTGTGGTGGTAGGAATTATTTGAGTAGTTGTTGTAATTGTTTCTTGTGTTGTGGTTGTAGGAATTGTTTTTGTAGTTGTTGTAATTGTTTTTGGTGTTGTGGTTGTGGGAGGAATGGTTGGTGTAGCTGTCGCAATGTTTTCCGTTGTTGTGGTGGAAGGAATGGTTGGTTTAGTTGTTGTACTGGTTTCTGGTGTTGTGGTTGTAGGAATTATTTTTGTAGTTGTTGTAATTGTTTTTGGTGTGGTGGTGGTGGTGGTAGGAATGGTTGGTGCAGCTGTTGCAATGTTTTCGATTGTTGTGGTGGAAGAAATGGTGGGTTTAGTTGTTGTAATGGTTTCTGTTGTTGTGGTTGTGGTAGGCATGGTTAGTGTAGTTGTTGTAATGGTCTCTGGTGTAGTTGTGGTGGTAGGAATTATTTTTGTAGCTGTTGTAATTGTTTCTGGTTTTGTGGTGGTGGAAGAAATGGTTGGTGTACTTGTTGTAATGTTCTCGGGTGTTGTGGTGAGATTTGGAATGGTTGTGCGATTAGTTGTTAAGGATTCTGGTTTTGTGGTTGCAGCAGTAATGGGTGGTTTTATGGTTGGTGTAAATATGGCTTCCGGTGTTGTAATGATGGGAGGAATAGTAGATGTGCTTGTTGTCATTGTTTCTTGTGCTGTGGTTGTAATACGATTTGTTGTTGTAATGTTTTCTGCCGTTGTGGTGGTTGTAGGAATGGTTGGTGTAAGTGTTGAAATGGTCTCTGGTGTAGTTGTGGTGGTAGGAATTATTTGAGTAGTTGTTGTAATTGTTTCTTGTGTTGTGGTTGTAGGAATTATTTTTGTAGTTGTTGTAATTGTTTTTGGTGTTGTGGTTGTGGGAGGAATGGTTGGTGTAGCTGTCGCAATGTTTTCGGTTGTTGTGGTGGAAGGAATGGTTGGTTTAGTTGTTGTACTGGTTTCTGGTGTTGTGGTTGTAGGAATTATTTTTGTAGTTGTTGTAATTGTTTTTGGTGTGGTGGTGGTGGTGGTAGGAATGGTTGGTGCAGCTGTTGCAATGTTTTCGGTTGTTGTGGTGGAAGGAATGGTGGGTTTAGTTGTTGTAATGGTTTCTGTTGTTGTGGTTGTGGTAGGCATGGTTAGTCTAGTTGTTGTAATGGTCTCTGGTGTAGTTGTGGTGGTAGGAATTATTTTTGTAGCTGTTGTAATTGTTTCTGGTTTTGTGGTGGTGGAAGAAATGGTTGGTGTACTTGCTGTAATGTTCTCGGGTGTTGTGGTGAGATTTGGAATGGTTGTGCGATTAGTTGTTAAGGATTCTGGTTTTGTGGTTGCAGCAGTAATGGGTGGTTTTATGGTTGGTGTAAAGATGGCTTCCGGTGTTGTAATGATGGGAGGAATAGTAGATGTGCTTGTTGTCATTGTTTCTTGTGCTGTGGTTGTAATACGATTTGTTGTTGTAATGTTTTCTGCCGTTGTGGTGGTTGTAGGAATGGTTGGTGTAAGTGTTGAAATGGTCTCTGGTGTAGTTGTGGTGGTAGGAATTATTTGAGTAGTTGTTGTAATTGTTTCTTGTGTTGTGGTTGTAGGAATTATTTTTGTAGTTGTTGTAATTGTTTTTGGTGTTGTGGTTGTGGGAGGAATGGTTGGTGTAGCTGTCGCAATGTTTTCGGTTGTTGTGGTGGAAGGAATGGTTGGTTTAGTTGTTGTACTGGTTTCTGGTGTTGTGGTTGTAGGAATTATTTTTGTAGTTGTTGTAATTGTTTTTGGTGTGGTGGTGGTGGTAGGAATGGTTAGTGCAGCTGTTGCAATGTTTTCGGTTGTTGTGGTGGAAGGAATGGTGGGTTTAGTTGTTGTAATGGTTTCTGTTGTTGTGGTTGTGGTAGGCATGGTTAGTCTAGTTGTTGTAATGGTCTCTGGTGTAGTTGTGGTGGTAGGAATTATTTTTGTAGCTGTTGTAATTGTTTCTGGTTTTGTGGTGGTGGAAGAAATGGTTGGTGTACTTGTTGTAATGTTCTCGGGTGTTGTGGTGAGATTTGGAATGGTTGTGCGATTAGTTGTTAAGGATTCTGGTTTTTTGGTTGCAGCAGAAATGGGTGGTTTTATGGTTGGTGTAAAGATGGCTTCCGGTGTTGTAATGATGGGAGAAATAGTAGATGTGCTTGTTGTCATTGTTTCTTGTGCTGTGGTTGTAATACGATTTGTTGTTGTAATGTTTTCTGCCGTTGTGGTGGTTGTAGGAATGGTTGGTGTAAGTGTTGAAATGGTCTCTGGTGTAGTTGTGGTGGTAGGAATTATTTGAGTAGTTGTTGTAATTGTTTCTTGTGTTGTGGTTGTAGGAATTATTTTTGTAGTTGTTGTAATTGTTTTTGGTGTTGTGGTTGTGGGAGGAATGGTTGGTGTAGCTGTCGCAATGTTTTCGGTTGTTGTGGTGGAAAGAATGGTTGGTTTAGTTGTTGTACTGGTTTCTGGTGTTGTGGTTGTAGGAATTATTTTTGTAGTTGTTGTAATTGTTTTTGGTGTGGTGGTGGTGGTGGTAGGAATGGTTGGTGCAGCTGTTGCAATGTTTTCGGTTGTTGTGGTGGAAGGAATGGTGGGTTTAGTTGTTGTAATGGTTTCTGTTGTTGTGGTTGTGGTAGGCATGGTTAGTCTAGTTGTTGTAATGGTCTCTGGTGTAGTTGTGGTGGTAGGAATTATTTTTGTAGCTGTTGTAATTGTTTCTGGTTTTGTGGTGGTGGAAGAAATGGTTGGTGTACTTGTTGTAATGTTCTCGAATGTTGTGGTGAGATTTGGAATGGTTGTGCGATTAGTTGTTAAGGATTCTGGTTTTGTGGTTGCAGCAGTAATGGGTGGTTTTATGGTTGGTGTAAAGATGGCTTCCGGTGTTGTAATGATGGGAGGAATAGTAGATGTGCTTGTTGTCATTGTTTCTTGTGCTGTGGTTGTAATACGATTTGTTGTTGTAATGTTTTCTGTCGTTGTGGTGGTTGTAGGAATGGTTGGTGTAAGTGTTGAAATGGTCTCTGGCGTAGTTGTGGTGGTAGGAATTATTTGAGTAGTTGTTGTAATTGTTTCTTGTGTTGTGGTTGTAGGGATTATTTTTGTAGTTGTTGTAATTGTTTTTGGTGTTGTGGTTGTGGGAGGAATGGTTGGTGTAGCTGTCGCAATGTTTTCGGTTGTTGTGGTGGAAGGAATGGTTGGTTTAGTTGTTGTACTGGTTTCTGGTGTTGTGGTTGTAGGAATTATTTTTGTAGTTGTTGTAATTGTTTTTGGTGTGGTGGTGGTGGTAGGAATGGTTGGTGCAGCTGTTGCAATGTTTTCGGTTGTTGTGGTGGAAGGAATGGTGGGTTTAGTTGTTGTAATGGTTTTAATTGTTGTGGTTGAAGTAGGCATGGTTAGTCTAGTTGTTGTAATGGTCTCTGGTGTAGTTGTGGTGGTAGGAATTATTTTTGTAGCTGTTGTAATTGTTTCTGGTTTTGTGGTGGTGGAAGAAATGGTTGGTGTACTTGCTGTAATGTTCTCGGGTGTTGTGGTGAGATTTGGAATGGTTGTGCGATTAGTTGTTAAGGATTCTGGTTTTGTGGTTGCAGCAGTAATGGGTGGTTTTATGGTTGGTGTAAAGATGGCTTCCGGTGTTGTAATGATGGGAGGAATAGTAGATGTGCTTGTTGTCATTGTTTCTTGTGCTGTGGTTGTAATACGATTTGTTGTTGTAATGTTTTCTGCCGTTGTGGTGGTTGTAGGAATGGTTGGTGTAAGTGTTGAAATGGTCTCTGGTGTAGTTGTGGTGGTAGGAATTATTTGAGTAGTTGTTGTAATTGTTTCTTGTGTTGTGGTTGTAGGAATTATTTTTGTAGTTGTTGTAATTGTTTTTGGTGTTGTGGTTGTGGGAGGAATGGTTGGTGTAGCTGTCGCAATGTTTTCGGTTGTTGTGGTGGAAGGAATGGTTGGTTTAGTTGTTGTACTGGTTTCTGGTGTTGTGGTTGTAGGAATTATTTTTGTAGTTGTTGTAATTGTTTTTGGTGTGGTGGTGGTGGTGGTAGGAATGGTTGGTGCAGCTGTTGCAATGTTTTCGGTTGTTGTGGTGGAAGGAATGGTGGGTTTAGTTGTTGTAATGGTTTCTGTTGTTGTGGTTGTGGTAGGCATGGTTAGTCTAGTTGTTGTAATGGTCTCTGGTGTAGTTGTGGTGGTAGGAATTATTTTTGTAGCTGTTGTAATTGTTTCTGGTTTTGTGGTGGTGGAAGAAATGGTTGGTGTACTTGCTGTAATGTTCTCGGGTGTTGTGGTGAGATTTGGAATGGTTGTGCGATTAATTGTTAAGGATTCTGGTTTTGTGGTTGCAGCAGTAATGGGTGGTTTTATGGTTGGTGTAAAGATGGCTTCCGGTGTTGTAATGATGGGAGGAATAGTAGATGTGCTTGTTGTCATTGTTTCTTGTGCTGTGGTTGTAATACGATTTGTTGTTGTAATGTTTTCTGCCGTTGTGGTGGTTGTAGGAATGGTTGGTGTAAGTGTTGAAATGGTCTCTGGTGTAGTTGTGGTGGTAGGAATTATTTGAGTAGTTGTTGTAATTGTTTCTTGTGTTGTGGTTGTAGGAATTATTTTTGTAGTTGTTGTAATTGTTTTTGGTGTTGTGGTTGTGGGAGGAATGGTTGGTGTAGCTGTCGCAATGTTTTCGGTTGTTGTGGTGGAAGGAATGGTTGGTTTAGTTGTTGTACTGGTTTCTGGTGTTGTGGTTGTAGGAATTATTTTTGTAGTTGTTGTAATTGTTTTTGGTGTGGTGGTGGTGGTGGTAGGAATGGTTGGTGCAGCTGTTGCAATGTTTTCGGTTGTTGTGGTGGAAGGAATGGTGGGTTTAGTTGTTGTAATGGTTTCTGTTGTTGTGGTTGTGGTAGGCATGGTTAGTCTAGTTGTTGTAATGGTCTCTGGTGTAGTTGTGGTGGTAGGAATTATTTTTGTAGCTGTTGTAATTGTTTCTGGTTTTGTGGTGGTGGAAGAAATGGTTGGTGTACTTGCTGTAATGTTCTCGGGTGTTGTGGTGAGATTTGGAATGGTTGTGCGATTAGTTGTTAAGGATTCTGGTTTTGTGGTTGCAGCAGTAATGGGTGGTTTTATGGTTGGTGTAAAGATGGCTTCCGGTGTTGTAATGATGGGAGGAATAGTAGATGTGCTTGTTGTCATTGTTTCTTGTGCTGTGGTTGTAATACGATTTGTTGTTGTAATGTTTTCTGCCGTTGTGGTGGTTGTAGGAATGGTTGGTGTAAGTGTTGAAATGGTCTCTGGTGTAGTTGTGGTGGTAGGAATTATTTGAGTAGTTGTTGTAATTGTTTCTTGTGTTGTGGTTGTAGGAATTGTTTTTGTAGTTGTTGTAATTGTTTTTGGTGTTGTGGTTGTGGGAGGAATGGTTGGTGTAGCTGTCGCAATGTTTTCGGTTGTTGTGGTGGAAAGAATGGTTGGTTTAGTTGTTGTACTGGTTTCTGGTGTTGTGGTTGTAGGAATTATTTTTGTAGTTGTTGTAATTGTTTTTGGTGTGGTGTTGGTGGTAGGAATGGTTGGTATAGCTGTTGCAATGTTTTCGGTTGTTGTGGTGGAAGGAATGGTGGGTTTAGTTGTTGTAATGGTTTCTGTTGTTGTGGTTGTGGTAGGCATGGTTAGTCTAGTTGTTGTAATGGTCTCTGGTGTAGTTGTGGTGGTAGGAATTATTTTTGTAGCTGTTGTAATTGTTTCTGGTTTTGTGGTGGTGGAAGAAATGGTTGGTGTACTTGCTGTAATGTTCTCGGGTGTTGTGGTGAGATTTGGAATGGTTGTGCGATTAGTTGTTAAGGATTCTGGTTTTGTGGTTGCAGCAGTAATGGGTGGTTTTATGGTTGGTGTAAAGATGGCTTCCGGTGTTGTAATGATGGGAGGAATAGTAGATGTGCTTGTTGTCATTGTTTCTTGTGCTGTGGTTGTAATACGATTTGTTGTTGTAATGTTTTCTGCCGTTGTGGTGGTTGTAGGAATGGTTGGTGTAAGTGTTGAAATGGTCTCTGGTGTAGTTGTGGTGGTAGGAATTATTTGAGTAGTTGTTGTAATTGTTTCTTGTGTTGTGGTTGTAGGAATTGTTTTTGTAGTTGTTGTAATTGTTTTTGGTGTTGTGGTTGTGGGAGGAATTGTTGGTGTAGCTGTCGCAATGTTTTCGGTTGTTGTGGTGGAAAGAATGGTTGGTTTAGTTGTTGTACTGGTTTCTGGTGTTGTGGTTGTAGGAATTATTTTTGTAGTTGTTGTAATTGTTTTTGGTGTGGTGGTGGTGGTGGTAGGAATGGTTGGTGCAGCTGTTGCAATGTTTTCGGTTGTTGTGGTGGAAGGAATGGTGGGTTTAGTTGTTGTAATGGTTTTAATTGTTGTGGTTGAAGTAGGCATGGTTAGTCTAGTTGTTGTAATGGTCTCTGGTGTAGTTGTGGTGGTAGGAATTATTTTTGTAGCTGTTGTAATTGTTTCTGGTTTTGTGGTGGTGGAAGAAATGGTTGGTGTACTTGCTGTAATGTTCTCGGGTGTTGTGGTGAGATTTGGAATGGTTGTGCGATTAGTTGTTAAGGATTCTGGTTTTGTGGTTGCAGCAGTAATGGGTGGTTTTATGGTTGGTGTAAAGATGGCTTCCGGTGTTGTAATGATGGGAGGAATAGTAGATGTGCTTGTTGTCATTGTTTCTTGTGCTGTGGTTGTAATACGATTTGTTGTTGTAATGTTTTCTGCCGTTGTGGTGGTTGTAGGAATGGTTGGTGTAAGTGTTGAAATGGTCTCTGGTGTAGTTGTGGTGGTAGGAATTATTTGAGTAGTTGTTGTAATTGTTTCTTGTGTTGTGGTTTTAGGAATTATTTTTGTAGTTGTTGTAATTGTTTTTGGTGTTGTGGTTGTGGGAGGAATGGTTGGTGTAGCTGTCGCAATGTTTTCGGTTGTTGTGGTGGAAGGAATGGTTGGTTTAGTTGTTGTACTGGTTTGTGGTGTTGTGGTTGTAGGAATTATTTTTGTAGTTGTTGTAATTGTTTTTGGTGTGGTGGTGGTGGTGGTAGGAATGGTTGGTGCAGCTGTTGCAATGTTTTCGGTTGTTGTGGTGGAAGGAATGGTGGGTTTAGTTGTTGTAATGGTTTCTGTTGTTGTGGTTGTGGTAGGCATGGTTAGTCTAGTTGTTGTAATGGTCTCTGGTGTAGTTGTGGTGGTAGGAATTATTTTTGTAGCTGTTGTAATTGTTTCTGGTTTTGTGGTGGTGGAAGAAATGGTTGGTGTACTTGCTGTAATGTTCTCGGGTGTTGTGGTGAGATTTGGAATGGTTGTGCGATTAATTGTTAAGGATTCTGGTTTTGTGGTTGCAGCAGTAATGGGTGGTTTTATGGTTGGTGTAAAGATGGCTTCCGGTGTTGTAATGATGGGAGGAATAGTAGATGTGCTTGTTGTCATTGTTTCTTGTGCTGTGGTTGTAATAAGATTTGTTGTTGTAATGTTTTCTGCCGTTGTGGTGGTTGTAGGAATGGTTGGTGTAAGTGTTGAAATGGTCTCTGGTGTAGTTGTGGTGGTAGGAATTATTTGAGTAGTTGTTGTAATTGTTTCTTGTGTTGTGGTTGTAGGAATTATTTTTGTAGTTGTTGTAATTGTTTTTGGTGTGGTGGTGGTGGGAGGAATGGTTGGTGCAGCTGTTGCAATGTTTTCGGTTGTTGTGGTGGAAGGAATGGTGGGTTTAGTTGTTGTAATGGTTTCTGTTGTTGTGGTTGCGGTAGGCATGGTTAGTGAAGTTGTTGTAATGGTCTCTGATGTAGTTGTGGTGGTAGGAATTATTTTTGTAGCTGTTGTAATTGTTTCTGGTTTTGTGGTGGTGGAAGAAATGGTTGGTGTACTTGTTGTAATGTTCTCGGGTGTTGTGGTGAGATTTGGAATGGTTGTGCGATTAGTTGTTAAGGATTCTGGTTTTGTGGTTGCAGCAGTAATGGGTGGTTTTATGGTTGGTGTAAAGATGGCTTCCGGTGTTGTAATGATGGGAGGAATAGTAGATGTGCTTGTTGTCATTGTTTCTTGTGCTGTGGTTGTAATACGATTTGTTGTTGTAATGTTTTCTGCCGTTGTGGTGGTTGTAGGAATGGTTGGTGTAAGTGTTGAAATGGTCTCTGGTGTAGTTGTGGTGGTAGGAATTATTTTTGTAGCTGTTGTAATTGTTTCTGGTTTTGTGGTGGTGGAAGAAATGGTTGGTGTACTTGTTGTAATGTTCTCGGGTGTTGTGGTGAGATTTGGAATGGTTGTGCGATTAGTTGTTAAGGATTCTGGTTTTGTGGTTGCAGCAGTAATGGGTGGTTTTATGGTTGGTGTAAAGATGGCTTCCGGTGTTGTAATGGTGGGAGGAATAGTAGATGTGCTTGTTGTCATTGTTTTTTGTGCTGTGGTTGTAATACGATTTGTTGTTGTAATGTTTTCTGCCGTTGTGGTGGTTGTAGGAATGGTTGGTGTAAGTGTTGAAATGGTCTCTGGTGTAGTTGTGGTGGTAGGAATTATTTGAGTAGTTGTTGTAATTGTTTCTTGTGTTGTGGTTGTAGGGATTATTTTTGTAGTTGTTGTAATTGTTTTTGGTGTTGTGGTTGTGGGAGGAATGGTTGGTGTAGCTGTCGCAATGTTTTCGGTTGTTGTGGTGGAAGGAAAGGTTGGTTTAGTTGTTGTACTGGTTTCTGGTGTTGTGGTTGTAGGAATTATTTTTATAGTTGTTGTAATTAATTTTGGTGTGGTGGTGGTGGTAGAAATGGTTGGTGCAGCTGTTGCAATGTTTTCGGTTGTTGTGGTGAAAGGAATGGTGGGTTTAGTTGTTGTAATGGTTTTAATTGTTGTGGTTGTGGTAGGCATGGTTAGTCTAGTTGTTGTAATGGTCTCTGGTGTAGTTGTGGTTGTAGGAATTATTTTTGTAGTTGTTGTAATTGTTTTTGGTGTGGTGGTGGTGGTAGGAATGGTTGGTGCAGCTGTTGCAATGTTTTCGGTTGTTGTGGTGGAAGAAATGGTGGGTTTAGTTGTTGTAATGGTTTCTGTTGTTGTGGTTGTGGTGGTAGGAATTATTTTTGTAGCTGTTGTAATTGTTTCTGGTTTTGTGGTGGTGGAAGAAATGGTTGGTGTACTTGTTGTAATTTTCTCGGGTGTTGTGGTGAGATTTGGAATGGTTGTGCGATTAGTTGTTAAGGATTCTGGTTTTGTGGTTGCAGCAGTAATGGGTGGTTTTATGGTTGGTGTAAAGATGGCTTCCGGTGTTGTAATGATGGGAGGAATAGTAGATGTGCTTGTTGTCATTGTTTCTTGTGCTGTGGTTGTAATAAGATTTGTTGTTGTAATGTTTTCTGCCGTTGTGGTGGTTGTAGGAATGGTTGGTGTAAGTGTTGAAATGGTCTCTGGTGTAGTTGTGGTGGTAGGAATTATTTGAGTAGTTGTTGTAATTGTTTCTTGTGTTGTGGTTGTAGGAATTATTTTTGTAGTTGTTGTAATTGTTTTTGGTGTTGTGGTTGTGGGAGGAATGGTTGGTGTAGCTGTCGCAATGTTTTCGGTTGTTGTGGTGGAAGGAATGGTTGGTTTAGTTGTTGTACTGGTTTCTGGTGTTGTGGTTGTAGGAATTATTTTTGTAGTTGTTGTAATTGTTTTTGGTGTGGTGGTGGTGGTGGTGGTAGGAATGGTTGGTGCAGCTGTTGCAATGTTTTCGGTTGTTGTGGTGGAAGGAATGGTGGGTTTAGTTGTTGTAATGGTTTCTGTTGTTGTGGTTGTGGTAGGCATGGTTAGTCTAGTTGTTGTAATGGTCTCTGGTGTAGTTGTGGTGGTAGGAATTATTTTTGTAGCTGTTGTAATTGTTTCTGGTTTTGTGGTGGTGGAAGAAATGGTTGGTGTACTTGTTGTAATGTTCTCGGGTGTTGTGGTGAGATTTGGAATGGTTGTGCGATTAGTTGTTAAGGATTCTGGTTTTGTGGTTGCAGCAGTAATGGGTGGTTTTATGGTTGGTGTAAATATGGCTTCCGGTGTTGTAATGATGGGAGGAATAGTAGATGTGCTTGTTGTCATTGTTTCTTGTGCTGTGGTTGTAATACGATTTGTTGTTGTAATGTTTTTTGCCGTTGTGGTGGTTGTAGGAATGGTTGGTGTAAGTGTTGAAATGGTCTCTGGTGTAGTTGTGGTGGTAGGAATTATTTGAGTAGTTGTTGTAATTGTTTCTTGTGTTGTGGTTGTAGGAATTATTTTTGTAGTTGTTGTAATTGTTTTTGGTGTTGTGGTTGTGGGAGGAATGGTTGATGTAGCTGTCGCAATGTTTTCGGTTGTTGTGGTGGAAGGAATGGTTGGTTTAGTTGTTGTACTGGTTTCTGGTGTTGTGGTTGTAGGAATTATTTTTGTAGTTGTTGTAATTGTTTTTGGTGTTGTGGTGGTGGTAGGAATGGTTGGTGCAGCTGTTGCAATGTTTTCGGTTGTTGTGGTGGAAGGAATGGTGGGTTTAGTTGTTGTAATGGTTTCTGTTGTTGTGGTTGTGGTAGGCATGGTTAGTCTAGTTGTTGTAATGGTCTCTGGTGTAGTTGTGGTGGTAGGAATTATTTTTGTAGCTGTTGTAATTGTTTCTGGTTTTGTGGTGGTAGAAGAAATGGTTGGTGTACTTGTTGTAATGTTCTCGGGTGTTGTGGTGAGATTTGGAATGGTTGTGCGATTAGTTGTTAAGGATTCTGGTTTTGTGGTTGCAGCAGTAATGGGTGGTTTTATGGTTGGTGTAAAGATGGCTTCCGGTGTTGTAATGATGGGAGGAATAGTAGATGTGCTTGTTGTCATTGTTTCTTGTGCTGTGGTTGTAATACGATTTGTTGTTGTAATGTTTTCTGCCGTTGTGGTGGTTGTAGGAATGGTTGGTGTAAGTGTTGAAATGGTCTCTGGTGTAGTTGTGGTGGTAGGAATTATTTGAGTAGTTGTTGTAATTGTTTCTTGTGTTGTGGTTGTAGGAATTATTTTTGTAGTTGTTGTAATTGTTTTTGGTGTTGTGGTTGTGGGAGGAATGGTTGGTGTAGCTGTCGCAATGTTTTCAGTTGTTGTGGTGGAAGTAATGTTTGGTTTAGTTGTTGTACTGGTTTCTGGTGTTGTGGTTGTAGGAATTATTTTTGTAGTTGTTGTAATTGTTTTTGGTGTGGTGGTGTTGGCAGGAATGGTTGGTGCAGCTGTTGCAATGTTTTCGGTTGTTGTGGTGGAAGGAATGGTGGGTTTAGTTGTTGTAATGGTTTCTGTTGTTGTGGTTGTGGTAGGCATGGTTAGTCTAGTTGTTGTAATGGTCTCTGGTGTAGTTGTGGTGGTAGGAATTATTTTTGTAGCTGTTGTAATTGTTTCTGGTTTTGTGGTGGTGGAAGAAATGGTTGGTGTACTTGCTGTAATGTTCTCGGGTGTTGTGGTGAGATTTGGAAAGGTTGTGCGATTAGTTGTTAAGGATTCTGGTTTTGTGGTTGCAGCAGTAATGGGTGGTTTTATGGTTGGTGTAAAGATGGCTTCCGGTGTTGTAATGATAGGAGGAATAGTAGATGTGCTTGTTGTCATTGTTTCTTGTGCTGTGGTTGTAATACGATTTGTTGTTGTAATGTTTTCTGCCGTTGTGGTGGTTGTAGGAATGGTTGGTGTAAGTGTTGAAATGGTCTCTGGTGTAGTTGTGGTGGTAGGAATAATTTGAGTAGTTGTTGTAATTGTTTCTTGTGTTGTGGTTTTAGGAATTATTTTTGTAATTGTTGTAATTGTTTTTGGTGTTGTGGTTGTGGGAGGAATGGTTGGTGTAGCTGTCGCAATGTTTTCGGTTGTTGTGGTGGAAGGAATGGTTGGTTTAGTTGTTGTACTGGTTTCTGGTGTTGTGGTTGTAGGAATTATTTTTGTAGTTGTTGTAATTGTTTCTGGTTTTGTGGTGGTGGAAGAAATGGTTGGTGTACTTGTTGTAATTTTCTCGGGTGTTGTGGTGAGATTTGGAATGGTTGTGCGATTAGTTGTTAAGGATTCTGGTTTTGTGGTTGCAGCAGTAATGGGTGGTTTTATGGTTGGTGTAAAGATGGCTTCCGGTGTTGTAATGATGGGAGGAATAGTAGATGTGCTTGTTGTCATTGTTTCTTGTGCTGTGGTTGTAATAAGATTTGTTGTTGTAATGTTTTCTGCCGTTGTGGTGGTTGTAGGAATGGTTGGTGTAAGTGTTGAAATGGTCTCTGGTGTAGTTGTGGTGGTAGGAATTATTTGAGTAGTTGTTGTAATTGTTTCTTGTGTTGTGGTTGTAGGAATTATTTTTGTAGTTGTTGTAATTGTTTTTGGTGTGGTGGTGGTGGGAGGAATGGTTGGTGCAGCTGTTGCAATGTTTTCGGTTGTTGTGGTGGAAGGAATGGTGGGTTTAGTTGTTGTAATGGTTTCTGTTGTTGTGGTTGCGGTAGGCATGGTTAGTGTAGTTGTTGTAATGGTCTCTGATGTAGTTGTGGTGGTAGGAATTATTTTTGTAGCTGTTGTAATTGTTTCTGGTTTTGTGGTGGTGGAAGAAATGGTTGGTGTACTTGTTGTAATGTTCTCGGGTGTTGTGGTGAGATTTGGAATGGTTGTGCGATTAGTTGTTAAGGATTCTGGTTTTGTGGTTGCAGCAGTAATGGGTGGTTTTATGGTTGGTGCAAAGATGGCTTCCGGTGTTGTAATGATGGGAGGAATAGTAGATGTGCTTGTTGTCATTGTTTCTTGTGCTGTGGTTGTAATACGATTTGTTGTTGTAATGTTTTCTGCCGTTGTGGTGGTTGTAGGAATGGTTGGTGTAAGTGTTGAAATGGTCTCTGGTGTAGTTGTGGTGGTAGGAATTATTTGAGTAGTTGTTGTAATTGTTTCTTGTGTTGTGGTTGTAGGAATTATTTTTGTAGTTGTTGTAATTGTTTTTGGTGTTGTGGTTGTGGGAGGAATGGTTGGTGTAGCTGTCGCAATGTTTTCGGTTGTTGTGGTGGAAGGAATGGCTGGTTTAGTTGTTGTACTGGTTTCTGGTGTTGTGGTTGTAGGAATTATTTTTGTAGTTGTTGTAATTGTTTTTGGTTTGGTGGTGGTGGTAGGAATGGTTGGTGCAGCTGTTGCAATGTTTTCGGTTGTTGTGGTGGAAGGAATGGTGGGTTTAGTTGTTGTAATGGTTTCTGTTGTTGTGGTTGTGGTAGGCATGGTTAGTCTAGTTGTTGTAATGGTCTCTGGTGTAGTTGTGGTGGTAGGAATTATTTTTGTAGCTGTTGTAATTGTTTCTGGTTTTGTGGTGGTGGAAGAAATGGTTGGTGTACTTGTTGTAATGTTCTCGGGTGTTGTGGTGAGATTTGGAATGGTTGTGCGATTAGTTGTTAAGGATTCTGGTTTTGTGGTTGCAGCAGTAAAGGGTGGTTTTATGGTTGGTGTAAATATGGCTTCCGGTGTTGTAATGATGGGAGGAATAGTAGATGTGCTTGTTGTCATTGTTTCTTGTGCTGTGGTTGTAATACGATTTGTTGTTGTAATGTTTTCTGCCGTTGTGGTGGTTGTAGGAATGGTTGGTGTAAGTGTTGAAATGGTCTCTGGTGTAGTTGTGTTGGTAGGAATTATTTGAGTAGTTGTTGTAATTGTTTCTTGTGTTGTGGTTGTAGGAATTATTTTTGTAGTTGTTGTAATTGTTTTTGGTGTTGTGGTTGTGGGAGGAATGGTTGGTGTAGCTGTCGCAATGTTTTCAGTTGTTGTGGTGGAAGTAATGTTTGGTTTAGTTGTTGTACTGGTTTCTGGTGTTGTGGTTGTAGGAATTATTTTTGTAGTTGTTGTAATTGTTTTTGGTGTTGTGGTTGTGGGAGGAATGGTTGGTGTAGCTGTCGCAATGTTTTCGGTTGTTGTGGTGGAAGGAATGGTTGGTTTAGTTGTTGTACTGGTTTCTGGTGTTGTGGTTGTAGGAATTATTTTTGTAGTTGTTGTAATTGTTTTTGGTGTGGTAGTGGTGGTAGGAATGGTTAGTGCAGCTGTTGCAATGTTTTCGGTTGTTGTGGTGGAAGGAATGGTGGGTTTAGTTGTTGTAATGGTTTCTGTTGTTGTGGTTGTGGTAGGCATGGTTAGTCTAGTTGTTGTAATGGTCTCTGGTGTAGTTGTGGTGGTAGGAATTATTTTTGTAGCTGTTGTAATTGTTTCTGGTTTTGTGGTGGTGGAAGAAATGGTTGGTGTACTTGTTGTAATGTTCTCGGGTGTTGTGGTGAGATTTGGAATGGTTGTGCGATTAGTTGTTAAGGATTCTGGTTTTGTGGTTGCAGCAGTAATGGGTGGTTTTATGGTTGGTGTAAATATGGCTTCCGGTGTTGTAATGATGGGAGGAATAGTAGATGTGCTTGTTGTCATTGTTTCTTGTGCTGTGGTTGTAATACGATTTGTTGTTGTAATGTTTTCTGCCGTTGTGGTGGTTGTAGGAATGGTTGGTGTAAGTGTTGAAATGGTCTCTGGTGTAGTTGTGTTGGTAGGAATTATTTGAGTAGTTGTTGTAATTGTTTCTTGTGTTGTGGTTGTAGGAATTATTTTTGTAGTTGTTGTAATTGTTTTTGGTGTTGTGGTTGTGGGAGGAATGGTTGGTGTAGCTGTCGCAATGTTTTCGGTTGTTGTGGTGGAAGGAATGGTTGGTTTAGTTGTTGTAATGGTTTCTGGTGTTGTGGTTGTAGGAATTATTTTTGTAGTTGTTGTAATTGTTTTTGGTGTGGTGGTGGTGGTGGTAGGAATGGTTGGTGCAGCTGTTGCAATGTTTTCGGTTGTTGTGGTGGAAGGAATGGTGGGTTTAGTTGTTGTAATGGTTTCTGTTGTTGTGGTTGTGGTAGGCATGGTTAGTGTAGTTGTTGTAATGGTCTCTGGTGTAGTTGTGGTGGTAGGAATTATTTTTGTAGCTGTTGTAATTGTTTCTGGTTTTGTGGTGGTGGAAGAAATGGTTGGTGTACTTGTTGTAATGTTCTCGAATGTTGTGGTGAGATTTGGAATGGTTGTGCGATTAGTTGTTAAGGATTCTGGTTTTGTGGTTGCAGCAGTAATGGGTGGTTTTATGGTTGGTGTAAAGATGGCTTCCGGTGTTGTAATGATGGGAGGAATAGTAGATGTGCTTGTTGTCATTGTTTCTTGTGCTGTGGTTGTAATACGATTTGTTGTTGTAATGTTTTCTGTCGTTGTGGTGGTTGTAGGAATGGTTGGTGTAAGTGTTGAAATGGTCTCCGGTGTAGTTGTGGTGGTAGGAATTATTTGAGTAGTTGTTGTAATTGTTTCTTGTGTTGTGGTTGTAGGAATTATTTTTGTAGTTGTTGTAATTGTTTTTGGTGTTGTGGTTGTGGGAGGAATGGTTGGTGTAGCTGTCGCAATGTTTTCGGTTGTTGTGGTGGAAGGAATGGTTGGTTTAGTTGTTGTACTGGTTTCTGGTGTTGTGGTTGTAGGAATTATTTTTGTAGTTGTTGTAATTGTTTTTGGTGTGGTGGTGGTGGTGGTAGGAATGGTTGGTGCAGCTGTTGCAATGTTTTCGGTTGTTGTGGTGGAAGGAATGGTGGGTTTAGTTGTTGTAATGGTTTCTGTTGTTGTGGTTGTGGTAGGCATGGTTAGTGTAGTTGTTGTAATGGTCTCTGGTGTAGTTGTGGTGGTAGGAATTATTTTTGTAGCTGTTGTAATTGTTTCTGGTTTTGTGGTGGTGGAAGAAATGGTTGGTGTACTTGTTGTAATGTTCTCGAATGTTGTGGTGAGATTTGGAATGGTTGTGCGATTAGTTGTTAAGGATTCTGGTTTTGTGGTTGCAGCAGTAATGGGTGGTTTTATGGTTGGTGTAAAGATGGCTTCCGGTGTTGTAATGATGGGAGGAATAGTAGATGTGCTTGTTGTCATTGTTTCTTGTGCTGTGGTTGTAATACGATTTGTTGTTGTAATGTTTTCTGTCGTTGTGGTGGTTGTAGGAATGGTTGGTGTAAGTGTTGAAATGGTCTCTGGCGTAGTTGTGGTGGTAGGAATTATTTGAGTAGTTGTTGTAATTGTTTCTTGTGTTGTGGTTGTAGGGATTATTTTTGTAGTTGTTGTAATTGTTTTTGGTGTTGTGGTTGTGGGAGGAATGGTTGGTGTAGCTGTCGCAATGTTTTCGGTTGTTGTGGTGGAAGGAATGGTTGGTTTAGTTGTTGTACTGGTTTCTGGTGTTGTGGTTGTAGGAATTATTTTTGTAGTTGTTGTAATTGTTTTTGGTGTGGTGGTGGTGGTAGGAATGGTTGGTGCAGCTGTTGCAATGTTTTCGGTTGTTGTGGTGGAAGGAATGGTGGGTTTAGTTGTTGTAATGGTTTTAATTGTTGTGGTTGAAGTAGGCATGGTTAGTTTAGTTGTTGTAATGGTCTCTGGTGTAGTTGTGGTGGTAGGAATTATTTTTGTAGCTGTTGTAATTGTTTCTGGTTTTGTGGTGGTGGAAGAAATGGTTGGTGTACTTGCTGTAATGTTCTCGGGTGTTGTGGTGAGATTTGGAATGGTTGTGCGATTAGTTGTTAAGGATTCTGGTTTTGTGGTTGCAGCAGTAATGGGTGGTTTTATGGTTGGTGTAAAGATGGCTTCCGGTGTTGTAATGATGGGAGGAATAGTAGATGTGCTTGTTGTCATTGTTTTTTGTGCTGTGGTTGTAATACGATTTGTTGTTGTAATGTTTTCTGCCGTTGTGGTGGTTGTAGGAATGGTTGTTGTAAGTGTTGAAATGGTCTCTGGTGTAGTTGTGGTGGTAGGAATTATTTGAGTATTTGTTGTAATTGTTTCTTGTGTTGTGGTTTTAGGAATTATTTTTGTAGTTGTTGTAATTGTTTTTGGTGTGGTGGTGGTGGTAGAAATGGTTGGTGCAGCTGTTGCAATGTTTTCGGTTGTTGTGGTGGAAGGAATGGTGGGTTTAGTTGTTGTAATGGTTTCTGTTGTTGTGGTTGTGGTAGGCATGGTTAGTCTAGTTGTTGTAATGGTCTCTGGTGTAGTTGTGGTGGTAGGAATTATTTTTGTAGCTGTTGTAATTGTTTCTGGTTTTGTGGTGGTGGAAGAAATGGTTGGTGTACTTGTTGTAATGTTCTCGGGTGTTGTGGTGAGATTTGGAATGGTTGTGCGATAAGTTGTTAAGGATTCTGGTTTTGTGGTTGCAGCAGTAATTGGTGGTTTTATGGTTGGTGTAAAGATGGCTTCCGGTGTTGTAATGGTGGGAGGAATAGTAGATGTGCTTGTTGTCATTGTTTTTTGTGCTGTGGTTGTAATACGATTTGTTGTTGTAATGTTTTCTGCCGTTGTGGTGGTTGTAGGAATGGTTGGTGTAAGTGTTGAAATGGTCTCTGGTGTAGTTGTGGTGGTAGGAATTATTTGAGTAGTTGTTGTAATTGTTTCTTGTGTTGTGGTTGTAGGGATTATTTTTGTAGTTGTTGTAATTGTTTTTGGTGTTGTGGTTGTGGGAGGAATGGTTGGTGTAGCTGTCGCAATGTTTTCGGTTGTTGTGGTGGAAGGAAAGGTTGGTTTAGTTGTTGTACTGGTTTCTGGTGTTGTGGTTGTAGGAATTATTTTTATAGTTGTTGTAATTAATTTTGGTGTGGTGGTGGTGGTAGAAATGGTTGGTGCAGCTGTTGCAATGTTTTCGGTTGTTGTGGTGAAAGGAATGGTGGGTTTAGTTGTTGTAATGGTTTTAATTGTTGTGGTTGTGGTAGGCATGGTTAGTCTAGTTGTTGTAATGGTCTCTGGTGTAGTTGTGGTGGTAGGAATTATTTTTGTAGCTGTTGTAATTGTTTCTGGTTTTGTGGTGGTGGAAGAAATGGTTGGTGTACTTGCTGTAATGTTCTCGGGTGTTGTGGTGAGATTTGGAAAGGTTGTGCGATTAGTTGTTAAGGATTCTGGTTTTGTGGTTGCAGCAGTAATGGGTGGTTTTATGGTTGGTGTAAAGATGGCTTCCGGTGTTGTAATGATAGGAGGAATAGTAGATGTGCTTGTTGTCATTGTTTCTTGTGCTGTGGTTGTAATACGATTTGTTGTTGTAATGTTTTCTGCCGTTGTGGTGGTTGTAGGAATGGTTGGTGTAAGTGTTGAAATGGTCTCTGGTGTAGTTGTGGTGGTAGGAATAATTTGAGTAGTTGTTGTAATTGTTTCTTGTGTTGTGGTTTTAGGAATTATTTTTGTAATTGTTGTAATTGTTTTTGGTGTTGTGGTTGTGGGAGGAATGGTTGGTGTAGCTGTCGCAATGTTTTCGGTTGTTGTGGTGGAAGGAATGGTTGGTTTAGTTGTTGTACTGGTTTCTGGTGTTGTGGTTGTAGGAATTATTTTTGTAGTTGTTGTAATTGTTTTTGGTGTGGTGGTGGTGGTAGGAATGGTTGGTGCAGCTGTTGCAATGTTTTCGGTTGTTGTGGTGGAAGAAATGGTGGGTTTAGTTGTTGTAATGGTTTCTGTTGTTGTGGTTGTGGTGGTAGGAATTATTTTTGTAGCTGTTGTAATTGTTTCTGGTTTTGTGGTGGTGGAAGAAATGGTTGGTGTACTTGTTGTAATGTTCTCGGGTGTTGTGGTGAGATTTGGAATGGTTGTGCGATTAGTTGTTAAGGATTCTGGTTTTGTGGTTGCAGCAGTAATGGGTGGTTTTATGGTTGGTGTAAAGATGGCTTCCGGTGTTGTAATGATGGGAGGAATAGTAGATGTGCTTGTTGTCATTGTTTCTTGTGCTGTGGTTGTAATACGATTTGTTGTTGTAATGTTTTCTGCCGTTGTGGTGGTTGTAGGAATAATTGGTGTAAGTGTTGAAATGGTCTCTGGTGTAGTTGTGGTGGTAGGAATTATTTTTGTAGCTGTTGTAATTGTTTTTGGTTTTGTGGTGGTGGAAGAAATGGTTGGTGTACTTGTTGTAATGTTCTCGGGTGTTGTGGTGAGATTTGGAATGGTTGTGCGATTAGTTGTTAAGGATTCTGGTTTTGTGGTTGCAGCAGTAATGGGTGGTTTTATGGTTGGTGTAAAGATGGCTTCCGGTGTTGTAATGGTGGGAGGAATAGTAGATGTGCTTGTTGTCATTGTTTTTTGTGCTGTGGTTGTAATACGATTTGTTGTTGTAATGTTTTCTGCCGTTGTGGTGGTTGTAGGAATGGTTGGTGTAAGTGTTGAAATGGTCTCTGGTGTAGTTGTGGTGGTAGGAATTATTTGAGTAGTTGTTGTAATTGTTTCTTGTGTTGTGGTTGTAGGGATTATTTTTGTAGTTGTTGTAATTGTTTTTGGTGTTGTGGTTGTGGGAGGAATGGTTGGTGTAGCTGTCGCAATGTTTTCGGTTGTTGTGGTGGAAGGAAAGGTTGGTTTAGTTGTTGTACTGGTTTCTGGTGTTGTGGTTGTAGGAATTATTTTTATAGTTGTTGTAATTAATTTTGGTGTGGTGGTGGTGGTAGAAATGGTTGGTGCAGCTGTTGCAATGTTTTCGGTTGTTGTGGTGAAAGGAATGGTGGGTTTAGTTGTTGTAATGGTTTTAATTGTTGTGGTTGTGGTAGGCATGGTTAGTCTAGTTGTTGTAATGGTCTCTGGTGTAGTTGTGGTGGTAGGAATTATTTTTGTAGCTGTTGTAATTGTTTCTGGTTTTGTGGTGGTGGAAGAAATGGTTGGTGTACTTGCTGTAATGTTCTCGGGTGTTGTGGTGAGATTTGGAAAGGTTGTGCGATTAGTTGTTAAGGATTCTGGTTTTGTGGTTGCAGCAGTAATGGGTGGTTTTATGGTTGGTGTAAAGATGGCTTCCGGTGTTGTAATGATAGGAGGAATAGTAGATGTGCTTGTTGTCATTGTTTCTTGTGCTGTGGTTGTAATACGATTTGTTGTTGTAATGTTTTCTGCCGTTGTGGTGGTTGTAGGAATGGTTGGTGTAAGTGTTGAAATGGTCTCTGGTGTAGTTGTGGTGGTAGGAATAATTTGAGTAGTTGTTGTAATTGTTTCTTGTGTTGTGGTTTTAGGAATTATTTTTGTAATTGTTGTAATTGTTTTTGGTGTTGTGGTTGTGGGAGGAATGGTTGGTGTAGCTGTCGCAATGTTTTCGGTTGTTGTGGTGGAAGGAATGGTTGGTTTAGTTGTTGTACTGGTTTCTGGTGTTGTGGTTGTAGGAATTATTTTTGTAGTTGTTGTAATTGTTTTTGGTGTGGTGGTGGTGGTAGGAATGGTTGGTGCAGCTGTTGCAATGTTTTCGGTTGTTGTGGTGGAAGAAATGGTGGGTTTAGTTGTTGTAATGGTTTCTGTTGTTGTGGTTGTGGTGGTAGGAATTATTTTTGTAGCTGTTGTAATTGTTTCTGGTTTTGTGGTGGTGGAAGAAATGGTTGGTGTACTTGTTGTAATTTTCTCGGGTGTTGTGGTGAGATTTGGAATGGTTGTGCGATTAGTTGTTAAGGATTCTGGTTTTGTGGTTGCAGCAGTAATGGGTGGTTTTATGGTTGGTGTAAAGATGGCTTCCGGTGTTGTAATGATGGGAGGAATAGTAGATGTGCTTGTTGTCATTGTTTCTTGTGCTGTGGTTGTAATAAGATTTGTTGTTGTAATGTTTTCTGCCGTTGTGGTGGTTGTAGGAATGGTTGGTGTAAGTGTTGAAATGGTCTCTGGTGTAGTTGTGGTGGTAGGAATTATTTGAGTAGTTGTTGTAATTGTTTCTTGTGTTGTGGTTGTAGGAATTATTTTTGTAGTTGTTGTAATTGTTTTTGGTGTGGTGGTGGTGGGAGGAATGGTTGGTGCAGCTGTTGCAATGTTTTCGGTTGTTGTGGTGGAAGGAATGGTGGGTTTAGTTGTTGTAATGGTTTCTGTTGTTGTGGTTGCGGTAGGCATGGTTAGTGTAGTTGTTGTAATGGTCTCTGATGTAGTTGTGGTGGTAGGAATTATTTTTGTAGCTGTTGTAATTGTTTCTGGTTTTGTGGTGGTGGAAGAAATGGTTGGTGTACTTGTTGTAATGTTCTCGGGTGTTGTGGTGAGATTTGGAATGGTTGTGCGATTAGTTGTTAAGGATTCTGGTTTTGTGGTTGCAGCAGTAATGGGTGGTTTTATGGTTGGTGTAAAGATGGCTTCCGGTGTTGTAATGATGGGAGGAATAGTAGATGTGCTTGTTGTCATTGTTTCTTGTGCTGTGGTTGTAATACGATTTGTTGTTGTAATGTTTTCTGCCGTTGTGGTGGTTGTAGGAATGGTTGGTGTAAGTGTTGAAATGGTCTCTGGTGTAGTTGTGGTGGTAGGAATTATTTGAGTAGTTGTTGTAATTGTTTCTTGTGTTGTGGTTGTAGGAATTATTTTTGTAGTTGTTGTAATTGTTTTTGGTGTTGTGGTTGTGGGAGGAATGGTTGGTGTAGCTGTCGCAATGTTTTCGGTTGTTGTGGTGGAAGGAATGGTTGGTTTAGTTGTTGTACTGGTTTTTGGTGTTGTGGTTGTAGGAATTATTTTTGTAGTTGTTGTAATTGTTTTTGGTGTGGTGGTGGTGGTGGTAGGAATGGTTGGTGCAGCTGTTGCAATGTTTTCGGTTGTTGTGGTGGAAGGAATGGTGGGTTTAGTTGTTGTAATGGTTTCTGTTGTTGTGGTTGTGGTAGGCATGGTTAGTCTAGTTGTTGCAATGGTCTCTGGTGTAGTTGTGGTGGTAGGAATTATTTTTGTAGCTGTTGTAATTGTTTCTGGTTTTGTGGTGGTGGAAGAAATGGTTGGTGTACTTGTTGTAATGTTCTCGAATGTTGTGGTGAGATTTGGAATGGTTGTGCGATTAGTTGTTAAGGATTCTGGTTTTGTGGTTGCAGCAGTAATGGGTGGTTTTATGGTTGGTGTAAAGATGGCTTCCGGTGTTGTAATGATGGGAGGAATAGTAGATGTGCTTGTTGTCATTGTTTCTTGTGCTGTGGTTGTAATACGATTTGTTGTTGTAATGTTTTCTGTCGTTGTGGTGGTTGTAGGAATGGTTGGTGTAAGTGTTGAAATGGTCTCTGGCGTAGTTGTGGTGGTAGGAATTATTTGAGTAGTTGTTGTAATTGTTTCTTGTGTTGTGGTTGTAGGGATTTTTTTTTGTAGTTGTTGTAATTGTTTTTGGTGTTGTTGTTGTGGGAGGAATGGTTGGTGTAGCTGTCGCAATGTTTTCGGTTGTTGTGGTGGAAGGAATGGTTGGTTTAGTTGTTGTACTGGTTTCTGGTGTTGTGGTTGTAGGAATTATTTTTGTAGTTGTTGTAATTGTTTTTGGTGTGGTGGTGGTGGCAGGAATGGTTGGTGCAGCTGTTGCAATGTTTTCGGTTGTTGTGGTGGAAGGAATGGTGGGTTTAGTTGTTGTAATGGTTTCTGTTGTTGTGGTTGTGGTAGGCATGATAAGTCTAGTTGTTGTAATGGTCTCTGGTGTAGTTGTGGTGGTAGGAATTATTTTTGTAGCTGTTGTAATTGTTTCTGGTTTTGTGGTGGTGAAAGAAATCGTTGGTGTACTTGTTGTAATGTTCTCGGGTGTTGTGGTGAGATTTGGAATGGTTGTGCGATTAGTTGTTAAGGATTCTGGTTTTGTGGTTGCAGCAGTAATGGGTGGTTTTATGGTTGGTGTAAAGATGGCTTCCGGTGTTGTAATGATAGGAGGAATAGTAGATGTGCTTGTTGTCATTGTTTCTTGTGCTGTGGTTGTAATACGATTTGTTGTTGTAATGTTTTCTGCCGTTGTGGTGGTTGTAGGAATGGTTGGTGTAAGTGTTGAAATGGTCTCTGGTGTAGTTGTGGTGGTAGGAATAATTTGAGTAGTTGTTGTAATTGTTTCTTGTGTTGTGGTTTTAGGAATTATTTTTGTAATTGTTGTAATTGTTTTTGGTGTTGTGGTTGTGGGAGAAATGGTTGGTGTAGCTGTCGCAATGTTTTCGGTTGTTGTGGTGGAAGGAATGGTTGGTTTAGTTGTTGTACTGGTTTCTGGTGTTGTGGTTGTAGGAATTATTTTTGTAGTTGTTGTAATTGTTTTTGGTGTGGTGGTGGTGGTAGGAATGGTTGGTGCAGCTGTTGCAATGTTTTCGGTTGTTGTGGTGGAAGAAATGGTGGGTTTAGTTGTTGTAATGGTTTCTGTTGTTGTGGTTGTGGTGGTAGGAATTATTTTTGTAGCTGTTGTAATTGTTTCTGGTTTTGTGGTGGTGGAAGAAATGGTTGGTGTACTTGTTGTAATGTTCTCGGGTGTTGTGATAAGATTTGGAATGGTTGTGCGATTAGTTGTTAAGGATTCTGGTTTTGTGGTTGCAGCAGTAATGGGTGGTTTTATGGTTGGTGTAAAGATGGCTTCCGGTGTTGTAATGATGGGAAGAATAGTAGATGTGCTTGTTGTCATTGTTTCTTGTGCTGTGGTTGTAATAAGATTTGTTGTTGTAATGTTTTCTGCCGTTGTGGTGGTTGTAGGAATGGTTGGTGTAAGTGTTGAAATGGTCTCTGGTGTAGTTGTGGTGGTAGGAATTATTTGAGTAGTTGTTGTAATTGTTTCTTGTGTTGTGGTTGTAGGAATTATTTTTGTAGTTGTTGTAATTGTTTTTGGTGTGGTGGTGGTGGGAGGAATGGTTGGTGCAGCTGTTGCAATGTTTTCGGTTGTTGTGGTGGAAGGAATGGTGGGTTTAGTTGTTGTAATGGTTTCTGTTGTTGTGGTTGCGGTAGGCATGGTTAGTGTAGTTGTTGTAATGGTCTCTGGTGTAGTTGTGGTGGTAAGAATTATTTTTGTAGCTGTTGTAATTGTTTCTGGTTTTGTGGTGGTTGAAGAAATGGTTGGTGTACTTGTTGTAATGTTCTCGGGTGTTGTGGTGAGATTTGGAATGGTTGTGCGATTAGTTGTTAAGGATTCTGGTTTTGTGGTTGCAGCCGTAATGGGTGGTTTTATGGTTGGTGTAAAGATGGCTTCCGGTGTTGTAATGATGGGAGGAATAGTAGATGTGCTTGTTGTCATTGCTTCTTGTGCTGTGGTTGTAATACGATTTGTTGTTGTAATGTTTTCTGCCGTTGTGGTGGTTGTAGGAATGGTTGGTGTAAGTGTTGAAATGGTCTCTGGTGTAGTTGTGGTGGTAGGAATTATTTGAGTAGTTGTTGTAATTGTTTCTTGTGTTGTGGTTGTAGGAATTATTTTTGTAGTTGTTGTAATTGTTTTTGGTGTTGTGGTTGTGGGAGGAATGGTTGGTGTAGCTGTCGCAATGTATTCGGATGTTGTGGTGGAAGGAATGGTTGGTTTAGTTGTTGTACTGGTTTTTGGTGTTGTGGTTGTAGGAATTATTTTTGTAGTTGTTGTAATTGTTTTTGGTGTGGTGGTGGTGGTGGTAGGAATGGTTGGTGCAGCTGTTGCAATGTTTTCGGTTGTTGTGGTGGAAGGAATGGTGGGTTTAGTTGTTGTAATGGTTTCTGTTGTTGTGGTTGTGGTAGGCATGGTTAGTCTAGTTGTTGCAATGGTCTCTGGTGTAGTTGTGGTGGTAGGAATTATTTTTGTAGCTGTTGTAATTGTTTCTGGTTTTGTGGTGGTGGAAGAAATGGTTGGTGTACTTGTTGTAATGTTCTCGAATGTTGTGGTGAGATTTGGAATGGTTGTGCGATTAGTTGATAAGGATTCTGGTTTTGTGGTTGCAGCAGTAATGGGTGGTTTTATGGTTGGTGTAAAGATGGCTTCCGGTGTTGTAATGATGGGAGGAATAGTAGATGTGCTTGTTGTCATTGTTTCTTGTGCTGTGGTTGTAATACGATTTGTTGTTGTAATGTTTTCTGTCGTTGTGGTGGTTGTAGGAATGGTTGGTGTAAGTGTTGAAATGGTCTCTGGCGTAGTTGTGGTGGTAGGAATTATTTGAGTAGTTGTTGTAATTGTTTCTTGTGTTGTGGTTGTAGGGATTATTTTTGTAGTTGTTGTAATTGTTTTTGGTGTTGTGGTTGTGGGAGGAATGGTTGGTGTAGCTGTCGCAATGTTTTCGGTTGTTGTGGTGGAAGGAATGGTTGGTTTAGTTGTTGTACTGGTTTCTGGTGTTGTGGTTGTAGGAATTATTTTTGTAGTTGTTGTAATTGTTTTTGGTGTGGTGGTGGTGGTAGGAATGGTTGGTGCAGCTGTTGCAATGTTTTCGGTTGTTGTGGTGGAAGGAATGGTGGGTTTAGTTGTTGTAATGGTTTTAATTGTTGTGGTTGAAGTAGGCATGGTTAGTCTAGTTGTTGTAATGGTCTCTGGTGTAGTTGTGGTGGTAGGAATTATTTTTGTAGCTGTTGTAATTGTTTCTGGTTTTGTGGTGGTGGAAGAAATGGTTGGTGTACTTGCTGTAATGTTCTCGGGTGTTGTGGTGAGATTTGGAATGGTTGTGCGATTAGTTGTTAAGGATTCTGGTTTTGTGGTTGCAGCAGTAATGGGTGGTTTTATGGTTGGTGTAAAGATGACTTCCGGTGTTGTAATGATGGGAGGAATAGTAGATGTGCTTGTTGTCATTGTTTCTTGTGCTGTGGTTGTAATACGATTTGTTGTTGTAATGTTTTCTGCCGTTGTGGTGGTTGTAGGAATGGTTGGTGTAAGTGTTGAAATGGTCTCTGGTGTAGTTGTGGTGGCAGGAATTATTTGAGTAGTTGTTGTAATTGTTTCTTGTGTTGTGGTTGTAGGAATATATTTTGTAGTTGTTGTAATTGTTTTTGGTGTTGTGGTTGTGGGAGGAATGGTTGGTGTAGCTGTCGCAATGTTTTCGGTTGTTGTGGTGGAAGGAATGGTTGGTTTAGTTGTTGAACTGGTTTCTGGTGTTGTGGTTGTAGGAATTTTTTTTATAGTTGTTGTAATTAATTTTGTTGTGGTAGTGGTGGTAGGAATGGTTTGTGCAGCTGTTGCAATGTTTTCGGTTGTGGTTGTGGAAGGAATGGTGGGTTTAGTTGTTGTAATGGTTTCTGTTGTTGTGGTTGTGGTAGGCATAGTTAGTCTAGTTGTTGTAATGGTCTCTGGTGTAGTTGTGGTGGTAGGAATTATTTTTGTAGCTGTTGTAATTGTTTCTGGTTTTGTGGTGGTGGAAGAAATGGTTGGTGTACTTGTTGTAATGTTCTCGGGTGTTGTGATGAGATTTGGAATGGTTGTGCGATTAGTTGTTAAGGATTCTGATTTTGTGGTTGCAGCAGTAATGGGTGGTTTTATGGTTGGTGTAAAGATGGCTTCCGGTGTTGTAATGATGGGAGGAATAGTAGATGTGCTTGTTGTCATTGTTTCTTGTGCTGTGGTTGTAATACGATTTGTTGTTGTAATGTTTTCTGCCGTTGTAGTTTTTTTAGGAATGGTTGGTGTAAGTGTTGAAATGGTCTCTGGTGTAGTTGTGGTGGTAGGAATTATTTGAGTAGTTGTTGTAATTGTTTCTTGTGTTGTGGTTGTAGGAATTATTTTTGTAGTTGTTGTAATTAATTTTGTTGTGGTGGTGGTGGTAGGAATGGTTGGTGCAGCTGTTGCAATGTTTTCGGTTGTTGGGGTGGAAGGAATGGTGGGTTTGGTTGTTGTAATGGTTTCTATTGTTGTGGTTGTGGTAGGCATGGTTAGTCTAGTTGTTGTAATGGTCTCTGGTGTAGTTGTGGTGGTAGGCATTATTTTTGTAGCTGTTGTAATTGTTTCTGGTTTTGTGGTGGTGGAAGAAATGGTTGGTGTACTTGTTGTAATGTTCTCGGGTGTTGTGATAAGATTTGGAATGGTTGTGCGATTAGTTGTTAAGGATTCTGGTTTTGTGGTTGCAGCGGTAATGGGTGGTTTTATGGTTGGTGTAAAGATGGCTTCCGGTGTTGTAATGATGGGAGGAATAGTAGATGTGCTTGTTGTCATTGTTTCTTGTGCTGTGGTTGTAATACGATTTGTTGTTGTAATGTTTTCTGCCGTTGTGGTGGTTGTAGGAATGGTTGGTGTAAGTGTTGAAATGGTCTCTGGCGTAGTTGTGGTGGTAGGAATTATTTGAGTAGTTGTTGTAATTGTTTCTTGTGTTGTGGTTGTAGGAATTGTTTTTGTAGTTGTTGTAATTGTTTTTGGTGTTGTGGTTGTGGGAGGAATGGTTGGTGTAGCTGTCGCAATGTTTTCGGTTGTTGTGGTGGAAGGAATGGTTGGTTTAGTTGTTGTACTGGTTTCTGGTGTTGTGGTTATAGGAATTATTTTTGTAGTTGTTGTAATTTTTTTTGGTGTGGTGGGTGTGGTAGGAATGGTTGGTGCAGCTTTTGCAATGTTTTCGGATGTTGTGGTGGAAGGAATGGTGGGTTTAGTTGTTGTAATGTTTTCGGTTGTGGTTCTGGTAGGCATGGTTAGTCTAGTTGTTGTAATGGTCTCTGGTGTAGTTGTGGTGGTAGGAATTATTTTTGTAGCTGTTGTAATTGTTTCTGGTTTTGTGGTGGTGGAAGAAATGGTTGGTGTACTTGTTGTAATGTTCTCGGGTGTTGTGGTGAGATTTGGAATGGTTGTGCGATTAGTTGTTAAGGATTCTGGTTTTGTGGTTGCAGCAGTAATGGGTGGTTTTATGGTTGGTGTAAATATGGCTTCCGGTGTTGTAATGATGGGAGGAATAGTAGATGTGCTTGTTGTCATTGTTTCTTGTGCTGTGGTTGTAATACGATTTGTTGTTGTAATGTTTTCTGCCGTTGTGGTGGTTGTAGGAATGGTTGGTGTAAGTGTTGAAATGGTCTCTGGTGTAGTTGTGGTGGTAGGAATTATTTGAGTAGTTGTTGTAATTGTTTCTTGTGTTGTGGTTGTAGGAATTATTTTTGTAGTTGTTGTAATTAATTTTGTTGTGGTGGTGGTGGTAGGAATGGTTGGTGCAGCTGTTGCAATGTTTTCGGTTGTTGGGGTGGAAGGAATGGTGGGTTTGGTTGTTGTAATGGTTTCTATTGTTGTGGTTGTGGTAGGCATGGTTAGTCTAGTTGTTGTAATGGTCTCTGGTGTAGTTGTGGTGGTAGGAATTATTTTTGTAGCTGTTGTAATTGTTTCTGGTTTTGTGGTGGTGGAAGAAATGGTTGGTGTACTTGTTGTAATGTTCTCGGGTGTTGTGATAAGATTTGGAATGGTTGTGCGATTAGTTGTTAAGGATTCTGGTTTTGTGGTTGCAGCGGTAATGGGTGGTTTTATGGTTGGTGTAAAGATGGCTTCCGGTGTTGTAATGATGGGAGGAATAGTAGATGTGCTTGTTGTCATTGTTTCTTGTGCTGTGGTTGTAATACGATTTGTTGTTGTAATGTTTTCTGCCGTTGTGGTGGTTGTAGGAATGGTTGGTGTAAGTGTTGAAATGGTCTCTGGCGTAGTTGTGGTGGTAGGAATTATTTGAGTAGTTGTTGTAATTGTTTCTTGTGTTGTGGTTGTAGGAATTGTTTTTGTAGTTGTTGTAATTGTTTTTGGTGTTGTGGTTGTGGGAGGAATGGTTGGTGTAGCTGTCGCAATGTTTTCGGTTGTTGTGGTGGAAGGAATGGTTGGTTTAGTTGTTGTACTGGTTTCTGGTGTTGTGGTTATAGGAATTATTTTTGTAGTTGTTGTAATTTTTTTTGGTGTGGTGGGTGTGGTAGGAATGGTTGGTGCAGCTTTTGCAATGTTTTCGGATGTTGTGGTGGAAGGAATGGTGGGTTTAGTTGTTGTAATGTTTTCGGTTGTGGTTCTGGTAGGCATGGTTAGTCTAGTTGTTGTAATGGTCTCTGGTGTAGTTGTGGTGGTAGGAATTATTTTTGTAGCTGTTGTAATTGTTTCTGGTTTTGTGGTGGTGGAAGAAATGGTTGGTGTACTTGTTGTAATGTTCTCGGGTGTTGTGGTGAGATTTGGAATGGTTGTGCGATTAGTTGTTAAGGATTCTGGTTTTGTGGTTGCAGCAGTAATGGGTGGTTTTATGGTTGGTGTAAAGATGGCTTCCGGTGTTGTAATGATGGGAGGAATAGTAGATGTGCTTGTTGTCATTGTTTCTTGTGCTGTGGTTGTAATACGATTTGTTGTTGTAATGTTTTCTGCCGTTGTGGTGGTTGTAGGAATGGTTGGTGTAAGTGTTGAAATGGTCTCTGGTGTAGTTGTGGTGGTAGGAATTATTTGAGTAGTTGTTGTAATTGTTTCTTGTGTTGTGGTTGTAGGAATTATTTTTGTAGTTGTTGTAATTAATTTTGTTGTGGTGGTGGTGGTAGGAATGGTTGGTGCAGCTGTTGCAATGTTTTCGGTTGTTGGGGTGGAAGGAATGGTGGGTTTGGTTGTTGTAATGGTTTCTATTGTTGTGGTTGTGGTAGGCATGGTTAGTCTAGTTGTTGTAATGGTCTCTGGTGTAGTTGTGGTGGTAGGAATTATTTTTGTAGCTGTTGTAATTGTTTCTGGTTTTGTGGTGGTGGAAGAAATGGTTGGTGTACTTGTTGTAATGTTCTCGGGTGTTGTGATAAGATTTGGAATGGTTGTGCGATTAGTTGTTAAGGATTCTGGTTTTGTGGTTGCAGCGGTAATGGGTGGTTTTATGGTTGGTGTAAAGATGGCTTCCGGTGTTGTAATGATGGGAGGAATAGTAGATGTGCTTGTTGTCATTGTTTCTTGTGCTGTGGTTGTAATACGATTTGTTCTTGTAATGTTTTCTGCCGTTGTGGTGGTTGTAGGAATGGTTGGTGTAAGTGTTGAAATGGTCTCTGGCGTAGTTGTGGTGGTAGGAATTATTTGAGTAGTTGTTGTAATTGTTTCTTGTGTTGTGGTTGTAGGAATTGTTTTTGTAGTTGTTGTAATTGTTTTTGGTGTTGTGGTTGTGGGAGGAATGGTTGGTGTAGCTGTCGCAATGTTTTCGGTTGTTGTGGTGGAAGGAATGGTTGGTTTAGTTGTTGTACTGGTTTCTGGTGTTGTGGTTATAGGAATTATTTTTGTAGTTGTTGTAATTTTTTTTGGTGTGGTGGGTGTGGTAGGAATGGTTGGTGCAGCTTTTGCAATGTTTTCGGATGTTGTGGTGGAAGGAATGGTGGGTTTAGTTGTTGTAATGTTTTCGGTTGTGGTTCTGGTAGGCATGGTTAGTCTAGTTGTTGTAATGGTCTCTGGTGTAGTTGTGGTGGTAGGAATTATTTTTGTAGCTGTTGTAATTGTTTCTGGTTTTGTGGTGGTGGAAGAAATGGTTGGTGTACTTGTTGTAATGTTCTCGGGTGTTGTGGTGAGATTTGGAATGGTTGTGCGATTAGTTGTTAAGGATTCTGGTTTTGTGGTTGCAGCAGTAATGGGTGGTTTTATGGTTGGTGTAAAGATGGCTTCCGGTGTTGTAATGATGGGAGGAATAGTAGATGTGCTTGTTGTCATTGTTTCTTGTGCTGTGGTTGTAATACGATTTGTTGTTGTAATGTTTTCTGCCGTTGTGGTGGTTGTAGGAATGGTTGGTGTAAGTGTTGAAATGGTCTCTGGTGTAGTTGTGGTGGCAGGAATTATTTGAGTAGTTGTTGTAATTGTTTCTTGTGTTGTGGTTGTAGGAATTATTTTTGTAGTTGTTGTAATTGTTTTTGGTGTTGTGGTTGTGGGAGGAATGGTTGGTGTAGCTGTCGCAATGTTTTCGGTTGTTGTGGTGGAAGGAATGGTTGGTTTAGTTGTTGTACTGGTTTCTGGTGTTGTGGTTGTAGGAATTATTTTTGTAGTTGTTGTAATTGTTTTTGGTGTGGTGGTGGTGGTAGGAATGGTTGGTGCAGCTGTTGCAATGTTTTCGGTTGTTGTGGTGGAAGGAATGGTGGGTTTAGTTGTTGTAATGGTTTCTGTTGTTGTGGTTGTGGTAGGCATGGTTAGTCTAGTTGTTGTAATGGTCTCTGGTGTAGTTGTGGTGGTAGGAATTATATTTGTAGCTGTTGTAATTGTTTCTGGTTTTGTGGTGGTGGAAGAAATGATTGGTGTACTTGTTGTAATGTTCTCTGTAGTTGTGATTATATTTGGAATGGTTGTGTGATTAGTTGTTAAGGATTCTGGTTTTGTGGTTGCAGCAGTAATGGGTGGTTTTATGGTTGGTGTAAAGATGGCTTCCGGTGTTGTAATGATGGGAGGAATAGTAGATGTGCTTGTTGTCATTGTTTCTTGTGCTGTGGTTGTAATACGATTTGTTGTTGTAATGTTTTCTGCCGTTGTGGTTGTAGTAGGAATGGTTGGTGTAAGTGTTGGAATTGTCTCTGGTGTATATTTTTCTGGTGTTGTGGTTGTAGGAATTATTTTTGTAGTTGTTGTAATTGTTTTTGGTGTTGTGGTGGTGGTAGGAATAGTTGTTGTAGCTGTTGCAATGTATTTGGTTGTTGTGGTGGAAGGAATGGTTGGTTTAGTTGTTGTAATGTTTTCTGGTGTTGTGGTTGTAGTAGGCATGGTTAATCTAGTTGTTGTAATGGTCTCTCGTGTAGTTGTGGTGATAGGAATTATTTTTGTAGGTGTTGTAATTGTTGTGGTGATAGTAGGAATGCTTATTTTATTAGTTGTAATGGTTTCTGAGGTTTTGTTTGAGGCAGGAATGGTTAATGTGGTCGGTTTAAATATGGCTGCTGTTTTTGTAGTGGTGGTAGGAATAGTAGGTGTAGTTGTTGTAACTGTTTCTTGTGCTGTGGTTTTAATACGATTTGTGGTTTTAGCTGTTCTAATGTTTTGTGGTGTTGTGGTTATATTTGGAATGTTAGGTGTAGTTGTAGTAATATTTTCTGGTTTTGTGGTGGTAGTAAGAATTTTTTTTCTATTTGTAGAAATGTCTCGTGTTGTATTTGTTGTGGGTTTAGTAGGAGTGTTTATTGCAATGGTTTCTGGTGTTCTGGTTGTGGTCGGAATGGTTAAGTTGCTTTTCATTGGGTTTTTTGAAATTGTAGCTGGTGTATCAATGTTATTAGAGGTGGATAATTTTGGGTTTATGGTTGTGTACTTTGGGGTGGTGATGTTTATTGGGTGATTTCTAGTGGTTGCTGGTGTTGCGGTGGTATTCTTAGTGGATCGTTTTGGAGTGGTACTTGTGTAATTTAGGGTTGTGCTTTTTATTGGGATTTTTGTAGTGGTTGCTGTCGTTTTGTTATTAAAATTCGACAAGTTTTGGGAGATGGTTGTGTATTTTAAGGCTGTGCTGTTTATTAGGGGCTTTGTAGTTGTTGCTGGTATTGTGGTTTTTGTAGGAATGGTTGTTGTTTTGTTTGTGTATTTTAGTGTTGTGCTGTTTATTGGGTGTTTTGTAGTTGTGGATAATTTTGAATTTGTGGTTGTATATTTTAAAGTGGTTTTGTTTACTTTTTGTGTTGTAGTGTTTGCTGGATTTGTTGTGGTATTATAAGTAGATAGTTTTGGAGTAATGGTTGCGTTTTTTAGGTCTTTGTTGTTTATTGAGGGCTTTGTGGTTGTTGCTGGTGTTGTGGTAGGAATGATTGATGTTTTGGTTATGTTTTTTAGGGTGGTGCTGTTTAGTGTTGATGTGGTATTAGGAGTTGATAATTTTGACTTTGTAGTTGTGTATTTTTGGGTGGTTGTGCTTATTGGGTGTTTAGTTGTGGTGGTTGTTGGCGTGGTGATATATGTAGGAA